TCTCCTGTTTGATTAACTGTCTCTGAAAACCCACTGGAGAGCCAGCAATGGGTCTGTTCTGACTTTAAGGTATGCAACAATAACAACAACCATAGCAACACTGGATGTTAGGTGCCGACTAGTTGACTATGACTCATAGGGGCCGTATGAACAGCAGATCTGAACCTTGTCCTGTCCTGTGACACCTTCATGATCTCCGTCTTGCTCAAGCCCGTGTGTGTGGTCATCATGGTGTCAGTCCATGTTACTGAGGGTCTTCCTCTCTATCCGTGACCCTCCACCTTTCCCGGCATGATGCCTCTCTCCAAAGACTAATAATTGCTCCTGAAAATATGCCCAAAGTAAGTGAGATGAAGTTTAACCATCTTTGTGTCTAAGTAGCATGTTAATTTTACTTCCTTCAAGTCAGACTAGTTATTTTGGCAGTGTATGGTATAATCAACACTCTTCACTGACATCACAATTCAAAAGAAGCACTTCCTCTGTTCCCCTTATTTATAGTCGAACTTTCAGATACACAGGAAACAATTGAAAAGACCATAGCTTGAATCAGGTGCACCTTAGTCTTTAAATGAATATCCTTGCTCTTTTGCTTCCTTGAAAAGTTCCTTGATTTCCCCAGTGTGCCTTGATTTTATGACTGTTGTTACTATGGGTGTTAATTGTAGATACATGTAAAATGAAATCATTGACCATTTTAAGTTTTTCCTACATTTATCATGATGCTGTCTATTCTATTGATCAAGTGGTGAAGATTTTTGTTTTCTTGATGTTCAGATAGAAACCATATTGAAGGCTGTAGTCTTTGATGTTCGGCTGTAAGTGCTTCAAGTCTTCAATTTCTGTAACCAAGATTGTGTCATCTGCATAATGCAAGTTGCAGATGAGCCTTCCTTCAAAACTGATGTCATGTTCTTATTTATAAAGTCCAGCTTCTCGGATGATTTGTTCAGAGTCAAAATTGAATAGGTATGGAGAAGGGATACAGCCCTGACGCACATCTTTCTTAATTTTAAGCCATAAGCATTTCCCTTGTTCTGTTCCTTCAAAGGCTTCTTGGTCTAGGTAAAAGTTTCACATTAGCACAATTCAGTGTTCTGATATTCCCATTCTTCTCAATGTTACCCATCATTTGTTATGATCCACACATTCAAATGCCTTTGCACAATCAATAGAACTCATTTCAACATTCTCTGCATGCAGCCAAAATTCACCTGGTGTAAAAAATTACAAGCCTTGAGCGATAGCCTCTTCTGAATCCAGCTTTTGGCAGTTCTCTGCCAATGTTCCATGTGGTTTTTGAAATAATCTTCAGCAAGATATTATTTGCATGTGAGATTATTTGATTGTCAATTTCCACGTTCTGTTGGCTTACCTTTTTTTGGAAATGGAACAAGTAAGAATCTCTTTCAGCCAGTTGGCCAAGTAGCTGGCTCCCAGGTCCCTAGACGGATGAGCATGTCCAGAATTGCATCTGTTGGTTGAAACATGTACATTTGTATCCCATTAATTCCTAGAATCTTATTTTTTCGCCAATGCAGTCAGTTCAGCTTGGAGTTCTTCCTTCAAACTATTGATTCTTGAACATGTGCTACTTCCTGAAATAGTTGTGTTGATTAATTCTTTTTGGTACAATTACACTGTATATTCCTTCCATATTCTTTTGATGCTTTCCGCATTGTTCAAGATTTGCCCATAAAGTCCTTCAGTATTGGAACTTCAGGCTTGACTTCGTTCTTCAGTTTTTCCAACTTCAGAAATGCTAGCATGTTCTGTCTGCCCTCTCGGTTTCTAACTCCAGCTGCTTGCACTTTCCATTATAATACTTTGCTTTGACTTCTTGAGTTGTTGTTGTTTTTTAAAACTTTGTACAATCACTAATGCATTTACTGCAATTAAAAAAAAAACACAAGCAAACCACAACCAAAACCCATAAACACAATAGCATATAACAGCGTCATAACAGAAGAATATCCACTTTTCCAACGTCGTTCTGTTCATGACCATAGAACATCTCCCCATGGCTCTTCTCAATTCTTTCTGAGCCCCCTTCAGAACCAGCTGTTAGTCATAATTGTTCCATCAGTATCTTCAAGGATGCCTTCAGGGACTTTGACTTTCAGATGCCAGGCTATCCTTTGACATTTTCTGTTAAGCTCTCTTACTTCCACATTATTCCCCCTTTTTTTAAAACTTATTTTTATTACAGGGCATGTTTTAGAGTCTCTTCTGCCAGCCATTTTGGTTCTTTCCATCTTTGTAAGGATCTTTGGCTTTTTTCATTTGTGATGTCCTTGAATCTTTTCTCACAGCTCAGCTGATCTTTAGTCATTTGGTGTCCAGTGCATTAAATCTCTTCTTTAAATTCACTTGGGATACACTCATGGTCATGTTTGGTTCTTTTGGACTCCTTTTAGTTTTCTCCAACTTCAGTTTGAACTTGCATCTGAGGAATTGATTCACCGTCAGCCCCTGGCCTGGTTATTACTGCTGATATTGTACATCTCCAACATTTCTTTGCATAAATGTAGTCAATCTGATTCCTCTGTAGTCTATCAGGTGATATCCGAGTGTAGTCACCATTTTAAATTTTTTATAAAAGTATTTGCAATGAATCTGTCATTCTTTGCCCAAAACTCCATCATTCAATCTCTAGCTCTATTTCTGTCACTAGAAATTGAGGCTTTTTACCACTTTTTGCAGTCTGAAATGACTTGAACGTATAAGAAGAATGCATTAATAATAATTGATGACTGGAATGCAAAAGTTGGAAACAAAGGAGAAAGACTGGTACTTGGAAAATAACGCTTTGGTTTCAGAAATTGTGTAGGCAGCTAGCCAGAAGCAAGATTAGTACCATCACCACAGTACCCGCCCAGCACTCCCCATTCCACCTTGACTCATTATTTGCCTTCAGATTAACAAAATCTTTCAATCTTGACAGAAATTACAGTGCTGAGAGGAAAATCATGTTTTCAGAATTTTGATGGAAGATTAAAGCAAAATCAAGGAGGAAAACATTTTCCCGTATAAGGACTTGCACAAAATGCTGGGACTTAATATCTTTGTCTCAAGGCTATAATTTTTTTTTCTCTTCAGATTTTTAATGTTATTTCCAGAATTTCAAAGCTATTTCAAACATCATGGCTTTGTCTAAAGTGCCAGTACAATCAGTTCTCCAAGTGGAGGGAAAGGAGAATGAGAGAGATACACACCATGGGATGAAAATGTACTCCCTTCAAATGATGAACTAAGAGGAGTTAAAAAACCAAAAAATGTGAGTACCTTCATGTCTTGGAAAAACGACTATTGTTTTTTGTTTTTTTTAAGAAACAATGCAATAATTTTATTCATTTTATAAAAATAGCTCAGGGTACCCACCACCACCAAGTCAGTACCAACTCATGACAACTTTTCATTGGGGAAGGAGGATGGAATCTCTTCCCTTGCCATTAACTGTCTCTGAAAACCCGACGGAGGGTCAGCTGTGGGTTGGTTCTGACTCAATGATATGCTGCAACAACCACACAACAAACCCTTACAGGAGATTACCTCCCCCTTCTTCCACAGTGTGGCTCATGGGTTCAGACTCTTGATTTTCCAGTATCACGCAAAAAGGGCTCTGAGGTAAGGGAGGCTTAGTATTTAGGTCCAGATAGTCATTTATGCCTTAGAAGTATAGACTGTGAAATGAGGTTTGGTTTTGGGTTTTGTTTTTTTTTTTTTTTTGGTTTTGGTTTTTTCTGGTTGTTGTTGTTGTTTCTTTTTTAAAATTTTATTTTAATGAAAGTTTAAAGACTCTTTGGATTTCCGTTCATTCATCCTTGCACACTTTCCTCCCTGCCCACCCCTTCCCCAAGTTTGCTTTTCTCTGAAAAATGACGATTTTTTTAAAAAAGTTTAAGCAAAACATAGTTATTTATTGGGCTATTGAGAGCAACTAAAAGGACAATCTATCTATAAGCTATATTTTGTTTGGTTTTCCAACATAAAAAGCTTTAGGAATTGTTAGAAGGGTTGGCTAGATTTAGAAAGTGAGTCAGAATTCACTCAGGAGCAGTGATTTTCTCTGATAATGTAGTGATTAAGCCTTTGGCTGTTAACAGAAAGGTTAATGGTTCAAACCCAGGAGAAAGATCTAGTAATCAGGGTCCATGAAGATTACAGGCATGAAAACACTACGTGTCAGTTATATTCTGTCATGTGGAGTTGCTGGGAATTGAAAGTTGACTCAGCTGCACCTAACTCCAAAATAAGACTTTAAAAATAGAGTCAGTGTTCACATGGTGAACATTCAAAAGTATTTAGCTGAAATTCCTTCTTTTCAATGCCCTGGCAAAATATTTTCAAACTCAAAATAAAACAGTTAAGACAAAGGAGAAGGAGGAGCTGGCAAGACGACAAGTTATGAGAAAGTGTGAGGACAATTGCTTTAAAGGAGTCATTGTGTTGGAGGAGGAGGGAGCGTGAGAGGCTTCTGTAAACACCAGGCCATGGAGTCGGAAACCAGAAGCCATTGTGGAGCTCCAAAGTGGAGAGCTTTTCAGCTCAACAGATTGCTATCAGCCTTGCAGAGCCAACTCGTGTTCCTTTTTGTCTGACCATTTCCTCTACTGAGTGTCTGTTAGAACCACCCACTGGGTTGTTTCCCAGGCTTACAGGTTTTTAGGTCAAATAGAATCCCGGGAACGCCTGGAAAAGGCAAACACAGGCAGCTCCATTGTGCAGAAGAAGCTGGATAACCGCACCTGGACTGCGGCAGAGGCCAGTGGAGCAGAGCGTGTGGGATCCTGGATGACACCAGACCCCGTGACCAGGATCAGGCAAGGGGTGAAGAAGAGTGTTGCTCTTAAGTGGCTGGTGTGGCTGAAGGTCTGAGGGTGGGCCAGAGGCTCCGCTGGAGATGCAGACATGGCCATGCCACTCCATGGCTGACTTCTGAGCACTGAGCAGTGGGTATTCAATGCTTTCTCTCTTTGTCATCTTCAGGCAAGTCAGCTATGGGTGAGAGACAGGAGTCCTTGGCCCTCACAGTCCATCTCCTTGCCAACTCTGGGCACGGCTCATTTCTACAGCGAACACTAGACCAGCTCCTGGATGGTATTTGTCCAGAGGTTCCCCTCTTTCTGGTGTCAGAGAGAGTCAGCCCCATGAAGTCTTATGAGAAGCACCACGCCAAGCACTCCAGGTTCCCAGGGATATCTGTTTTACTGTTCCTGCATGAGAGTCGGGGAGAGGAGAGGATGTTTCGGGTTCTCAGCTCCCTCCAGCATTCGCCTTGGCAATACTACCCCACTGAGAACGCCCAGAGGAAACTCTGTCCCTCCCTGCTTGCCAGCCACGACTTCTACAGTCTGGACCACCAGATGCCTGTGTGGGGAGTGCGGCAGGTGCACTGTGGCAGTGAGATCCTGCGGGTGACCCTCTACTGCAGCTTTGACAATTACGAGGACGCCATCCGACTCTACGAGATGGTCTTGCAGAAAGAAGCCACCTTGCAAAAGAGCAACTTCTGTTTCTTCGAGCTCTACTCCACCTCGAGCTTCACCCTGCAGCTCTCCCTGAAGCAGCTGCCCCCTGGGATGTCCGTGGACCCCAAAGAGGCTGCAGTGCTGCAGTTCAAGGTTCAAGAGATTGGCCAGCTAGTGCCTCTCCTGCCCAATCCCTGCGTCCCCATCAGCAGCACCAGGTGGCAGACCCAGGACTACGACGGCAACAAGATCCTGCTGCAGGTATTTTAGCTTTGCCTCTAGGAACTCGATGAAGCACGTGGAATTGTGTTTCATCTGAGATGTAAACTGGTGGAGAGATGATTTATTCTACTGGGTCTCAATCTGGGTGCACGTTAGAATCCTCAAGAGAGCATTTAACCTTCCTACTTCAGTTAAATCAGAATCTCTGGGAGGCACACACACATGGGTGTTTATCAAAAGCTTTTTGGATGAGTCTAACGTAATGTAGCCCTGGGAGTTACTAACATATTAAAAGGGAACCCTGGCATAGTGCATAATATATCAGCCAAAAGGCTGACAGTTTGACTCCATCAGTTGCTGCATGGGACAAAAAAGAACAGTCTCCCCTGTGAAGATCTGTTGTTGTTGTTGTTAAGTACTGGGAGCCAACTCTGATTCAGAGGGACCCTATGGATAACAGATGGGAACTTTGCTCTTCTCAGTGCCATGGTCATGATCTCTGCCTTGTTCAAGTCCATTACTGCTGTCACTGTGTCAAACTATCTTATAGAGGATCTTCCTCTCTTTTGTAAAGATTTCTAACTTTGGAAATTCCTGGAGAGTCACTGAGTCAGAATTCATTCCATGATAGTTTGCCAAACAATGAACAGAAAAACCTTCTTTTAACAGATCAAAGACACTGTTGTCAAGTTGGAAGGGACTCTTAGCTGATCCTCTCAGGGGTTTTGAAGTTGTAAATCTTTCAGCAGAATATCCAGTCTTCCCCACCCCCCCATAGCTGCCGGTGGATTCAAACAATCAGAGAGGCGAACCCAGTAATCACAGCTTCCCGAGGGCCACGCCACCAGATCAAAACTCAACAGATAATGATCTTCAGACTCTGGAGCTTGTGACTTTCATCAGCAGTTTGTAGTTGTATCAGATAAAAATCTTGTTCTCAGATTTTCCTTTTACAATCTGATTTGGTTGACCAGCTCAGGCCAGACCAGACCCTGTTACCATGGAGTTGACCTTAATTCATGGCTACTGCTTGTGTGTCAGGGTAGAAATGTGCCCACGGGACATTCAGTGGTTGATATTTTGGAAGTAGATCACCGGCACGTTCTTCTGAGCTGCCTCTATGTGGACTTGTACCTCCAACCTTTCAGCTATACCCAAATACTTTACTTATTCTTGGGTTCAGAAATATTATAAACCTTTTTCATTTGATCTTGGGAAGTTGTAAATTAAGCTTTGAAATGGTAAAATTGATGCTCAAGTGATTTCGTATCTGAGCATTTTATTCTATTGTTAAAATTTTCTCCTAAATCAAATTCACTTGTTAAATCTCTTTCAAAAGAGAATCTTAAAGTATTTTTTTAAAACTATCCTATTAAAATGGAATGAGCTGGTATAAATACAACCAGAATATCATCTTTAGTGGATGTTGGTGGTGATTAAGTCTTTCCAGTTAGTAGTTGTATGACCTTGACCTTGTGCCTCAATTTCTTTATTAGCACAATCAGGGAAATGAAAGTATCTTCCTGTAGAGTTGTTATTGACACTAAATTATTTGAGTTTTTAATAAAAATTTGTGATTTGAGTGAAAGTTTACTAAACAAATTGGTTTCCCATTCAACCATTCAGTTTGTTTGACAACATTAATTACAACTCCCACAAAGTAATCACATTTTTTGCACTTCCTCACTCTCGTTGTAATTTTCATTCATCATTCTAGCCTGCTTTTTTCTGCCTTCAGGCCTTTATCCTGTTTATCTGTCTGTCTATATATCTGCTGTTGCCTGTAGTGCTTGTGTATCTCGAAGTCTTCCCTTTATTTCATGGTATTGTGTTTCTTATAAAGTGTTTAGCTTAATATGCAAAACTTAGTCTTTGCTGTTATGGTTCATATTATAACCTCTAGATATTTTAGAAGGCATAGAGATTCTCACTGGTAGGCCAATTGGTGGCACCATGATAGATGGAGAAGAGATTGAGTTTGTTAACAATTTCAGTTTGCTTGGCTCCACAATCAACACTCTTGGCCCAGCAGTTAGGAAATAAAAAGATCAAATGCATTGGGGAAGTCTGCTGTCAGGGACCTTGCCAAAGTGTTAAATAGCAATGATGTCAGTCTAGAGACTAAGGTGTGCCTGATTCAGGCCATGGTCTTCACAATTACTTGCTATGCATGAGAAAGCTAGACAATGACAAAGGACAATAGAAGAAAATTTGATCCCTTTGAGTTGTAGTGCTGGAAAAGAGTATCCAACATATGGACTGCTAGGAGAACATATTGGTCTGTTTTGGACAGGGTGAAACCAAGTTTCTCCTTGGAGGCAAGGATATTATTGAAGCTCTGTCTCACGTACTCTGGGCACGTTTCCAGGAGAGACCAGTCTGTGGAGAAGGACATCATTCTCTGAAGGGTGGAGTGACAGCACAGGAGAGAAAGACCCCAGATGAAATGGATTGACACAGTAACTGGGGCAATGGGGTGAGGTGTGCTGGAGTCAGTGAGAGTAGGATGAGCATACAGCAGGGTCCAGAGCTGCGGTACATAGGGCCGCTATGAATTGTGGGCAACTCCACGGCACAGAACAACAACAATTTGAGTGACTACTAGCCCCACAGTTAATGCTTCAAACTCATCCAGACATGCCTAGGAATAAGGGCCTGCTAATCTGCTTCTGAAAGGTCACATCTTTGGAAAAACAAAGGAGCAATTCTACTCTGCACACACGGAGATGCTGTGAGTTCAACTGACTTGACGGTAATGAACTTCAGAAGCAACTAAGCATTTAAAATTGATTATTTAATCCTGATAACAACCTAGGAGAACACTAATGTCCCTGTTTTGCAGATTAGAGAACAGAAGAATGGAGGTGTTCAATTACTTGTCTCAGAAATTGCTCAAAATGTTTCTCAGGCTCCAAGTCCAAAGCCCATGTTTAACCATTTAGCTCCAATGCTCTGTGGCATGAACGTGTGTGTATAAAACAGAGAGCAGTACATAGACTCCTAACCCGTGGTTTCCATTCATGAGAGATGGTGAGAATCTACGCTAAGCCATGGTGGATGAAGGAATAACAGGCCCTGAGCAGATTTCTCTATCCTTCTGTTAGACCTGTTGTGATCAGCTTAGACTTCCTGGTTAAATAAACTATGAATCACAGAGAGTCTATCTTAAAGGATTTTTAAGTGACCTTTTTGGACACAGGCGAGGCAGGCACTGTTTCTGTTAAGTTGTTGTTGATTGCTGTCGAGTTGAGCATGGCTCATAGCAACCCTACGAACAAAAGGCCTGAAGCCTTTCTATAACTATCATCGTTTATCAAAGTTCATAGAGTTTCCAGGGGCATGTTGTTTAGGCTGTGGATACCCCTCCTGCTTCCAAGCTGTCTGTTACTATGACTCACTAACTTCTAAGGCATCTATAGGTTTTCCTTCTGTCATAATCTCCAGAGTTTAAAATCAACCTCACTGTCAAACAAAAATATGTGTATGCCAGTCAGGGGTATGTTTCAAATGGTTCCGATATTGCAGGCTGACTTTTTCTTTCTGAAATATACTACTGATTGGTAATTGTTTTATAAAGTCAGATCAAATTTGTTGAGGGAAGAATGACTTAATTTTTTCTTTTTGGTAGAAGCAGCATGAGTCATATAAAATGGCCTATTCACCTCTCATTTTCTAGGAGTCTGGCGGTTTCTATGGAAGCAATGTTTGTTCCCTCCTTCTCATAGACCTCCCCGAAGCCACCACCCCTTCTAAGTCTCTTGGAAGTTCTCCAAACTGTGACTGTTCTGACTTCCCCACTGGAGAACACTGGCTTTGGTCCCATCTACTTCATCAGCCTAGGCTTTGCCCGCAAAATGGGGGAGTGTCTTCTGCAAATTTGTGCTGGGGACCTGATATCATAAAAGGTCCTGAGGAAAACTCCCAAAGGCCTTGCGGCCTTCTTTATAAGAAAGTTCCCTGGGTGACACAAATGGTGACATTGTACTGGAGTATGAACTCCCCGGTGGAACTGCAGGAGAAAACCCTAGCAGTCTGCTTCTGGGAGATGGATCACAGCCCAGAAAACTGTGGTGCCATTCAACCCTGTAGCCTCATGAGTCAGGATTCACTTAGGATGTGCCTTCTCAGAACCAGGAATTTCTCAGGGGAGAAAATCTAGCCTGAATTTCATTGAGCAAGAAAGACAAGGGATAGGTGATCAGTCTTTGCCTTTTATGACAGTTTTCCAAATCTGATTTACAAAAACCAAAGACACTACACTAATTCCTTTCCCCAGGATCCCTGGTGGGACAGTAGTTAAGGATTTTCTTGCTAATCAAAGCACTAATGGTTTGAACTTACACGGTGGCTCCATGGCACAAAGCCCTGGTGGTCCACTCCCAGAAGAGGGTGAGCTCCCTTGAGGCCGTAATAAATATAAGAACAAATCTGGGGAACCCTGGGACAGGCTGAGTTGCAGCTCATTAAAATGATAACACTTATGCCTAGGGAGCTTTTGCTTTCTCCGTGAATGACATCTTTGATGTCACTCCACAACTTATTTGATCCTTGGTTGCTAATCATCAGATCTATTCTTGAGATGATTTTAAAATTCAGACAGGATAACCTCAAGGTGCTCATGAGGAGAGATGCCAGTTTAAAGACTAAGGTGTGCCTTATCCACGCCATGGTGTCACCCACAGCTTCCTATACATCTGAAAGATGCTGGATGAATAAGGGTGACGGTAGAAGAATCGATGGTTTGGGCCATGGTGTTGGAGGAGCGCACTGAGTATCTCATGGACTACCTTGGAGGAAGTGCAACCAAGGCATTGATTTGAAGCAAGGATGGTGAGAACTTGTCTCATGTACTTTGAGCATGTTGCCATGAAGGACCAATTCTTAGAAAAAGACCTATTCTGGGAAAGGTAGAGAAGGTCAGAGAAAGCGGTGAAGACCCTCACCAAAATAGGTTGACAGGTAACAGTAACAATAGGTTGGAGAATCCCAAGGAGGTATAGAATACCATCCTCTACCATGATGGTATAGGACAGGACGAG